TTTTTTACTCGAATCTTCACACTTTGATATTTCACTAAAACTTGATGTATTACGTGCAATTATTAATTCTCGTACACGTAACAACGTAACAAAAACTTATCAACGCCCATTCTTGCGGTGGAAATTGATTCTTCGGTTCTAAATTTCTTGTAAACAATTTGTTCGGTTCACTGAGTAAACATGCAAGCGTGCACCATCGATGGTACACGTGGCACGGAACGTGTTAAACAATAATCTAAGTTGTTGTAAAGAGAAATAAGAAGAAGAGAAAAAGAAAGAAAAAGAAACTGTATGAAGAAGTTCTATCGTTGTGTGTACACCGTTTGTTCAGAAGAGAAACATCGTCAACACCTTTTTTTAAATAAACTTCATCATCATCATTGGAGTAAGTAAGCACGATGTTACTTCGCGTTCGATAAGTATGTAACATTCTTTTTTTTTTTAAATGTTTTCACCAATTTCTCCACAGCAACGTATCGTTAATTTTACTACAGAATTTCGGTGAAAAGTCTGCAACCGTAACTTCGATTTCGTGTAATAAGAGTGTGTACATGTTGCGGCAGTGATCATATTAATCCGTTCAGAGCAATATTATCCGCCAGAAACAATATCGTTTTCCATTCATACATTGTAACTCTATTTCCGTTGACTTGTTCTTTACAAGAAAAAAAAAAGAAAGAATTCTACAGAAACATTCTGCGTAAAAACGAACCGGAAGATCAAAGGAAGCTGGAAATATTCTTCTAATGTTAAACGTTGTCGTTTGATCGATAAGTATAGTGCGCGAACATGTAAGTCTGGTACGAGAAAATTGAATCGCGCTTATAATATTCGACTCGAAGTTAGAAGTCTGATAAGAGCAATGACATTTCGACACGTGTTACACGCGAACGATACATAAATATATATGTATGTATAACTTATAGCGACACGTTCCCATACCGCGTGGGTCACTCGTGACCTATACGGTATACAGAGGATATATCAGCCAATATTTATTTATAAACCGAAGATCGCATAAGAATGTTATACATTAAAAGCACTAGAAAATATAATCTGTCCTTTGTTTTTAGTTACATAGCAATATTATCTTGTTTGCTACATGAGAAATTAAAATTCTTGTAAAATCCATGTAAATGTAAACCAAACACTGTACATTTCTAATTACCGTGGAAACACATATTGATTGCGTTAAAGTGTTACGTATTGGCACAGAGTTAATAAATATGAAAATGTCGAATTATTCAGCTTTGCAAAATATGAACGAAGTTGTCTCATTTCCAACAATGATTGTGCAACATTTTTTAAAATTTCGTTCACGTATATACTATACGTATAATATAGTACCGTCAAATAATAGATAGATTTATTTGTCACCCTATAACTATAAGCAAGACCACATCTTATCGATCGGCTAATGTTCAAATCAAATATGAAATTGTAAAAAATTTATAGCGCTGTTAAATAATAATAATAATAATAAAATACATTTTACGTAACAAAACGTTGGATTTAATTTTTGTGTGACGGTTTACAAAAAACGCTACCAGACTTTAAAAATGTTGGCTAATACAGATCATACTGACTGTCGATTCGGAGAGCTCATCGTGCGTATATGTACAAATTGTTACATCTTGATCGAATACCATTCATCCGCGTAACGATTTGTATAATTACGCATATCGCGATCGATTAGTACACGCTAACAATTTTCTCGGCGCATATTTTATAATAGTCTACACTCGTTATAGCCGAGTGCTTTTCAAATTCTACAGCGCGCCTACAATCATGATACGAGTGTATAATAATAATAATAATAATAATAATAATATTAATAATAATGGTAATAGTAATAATGATAATAATAATAATAATAAGTATAATACATAATTGTAATTAAAAATAATGAAAACAAAACAAAATGCTTGGAAAAATTAAAACACGACAAAAGAAACGCATATGTAGATTTATATGTATACATATACATGTATATAACACATAAGTATGTTGTAGACATTGTATATATACATATATACATATATATCTACCTACCTATGTGTACCTACCTACATATTTATGTATATAACGAATACCATTGAATACTTTTGTAAAACATCCAACGGACTGCGTTCGATAAAAGCGATACACTGGATTGTTAATGTTAATTAATCACGGAAGCACGACACGATCGATCGATGCGCGGTACACGATAACTAATGTTGTATCCCTAAAAGAATTTTATCGGATGCAATATTAAATGTTATTCCGCGCGTTTCCCCCCCATTCTCCGACTGCGAAAAGGCATTTTACGATATTTTCCATATTCAATTTGTTATCGGGCAGATTACGAATGATAAATTGTCTCTCTGCGTTAGAAAGAGAGAAAGATACAATTAATGACGGTGGAAAAAGAGATGGTCTCAGGACTTTGCGCCACATGACTGTGTGTGTGTGTATATCACATTGTAATCTCTGATTTATGATTCGTTTCTCAAACGTTGCAATCGGAGCTATACAAAGACGAACGTTGCGAATCTATAACGAACCAATATATATCAGCTTGCAGTTTCCGAATACGTAGCTTTCCGTATCTTCTATTTGTTACATGTTTTCTCGAAGAAGATACGTCGTAGTTGTCGTAGAGTCGTTTCGATGGGCATTATTACAGTGACAATCGCTACATTCCTTTTCACGATTAACATTTGATTTTCTTTTTCTCTCTTTTTGGCAAACTTGCTGAAATCTTTACAATCATATTCGAAGGCAAAGTACAAGGTAAAATATCATCACAATGTTGTGAAAGCAAATATTCTACGGGTTCTCGAGTTTCTTTAAACATAGTAGCGAGGTACATTTACTAAGTACAAATGTTCCATAACACGTTGCTGTTCTTTAAACATGCATACTTAAACATAAATAGAATGACATCGACACAGCAAATGCAATACTAAATAAAAAATTATTATACTTCTAAATACAAATTCAACAATATTTATATACAATTTCACAATTAGCTTGCTTTTCTCCAATATTTTCTATCTTTGTTTTTTTTTACAAAATTGTATATCATGAATGGTAGACTAGCATAAAATACTAATCCTATAAAAAAAAAATCAATTCAATTATATATTCGAATATTAATTTGCGGCTGTATTGTTTATCGAAATAATTAGTCGTATATTTTCAATTCATTATATATCATTGGTGTCGCTGCTTTCTTAAAAGTAGCACCAATATTGGCCCGTTTAAAAGACAATCATATAATATCCAGTAAAGTACTTTGATAGAACATGAAGTTGGAAGCCATTTAATATTATGCAATATGTATATGACTTATTCTTATATATTCTTTCGTTTTTGTGTACTCTGACCTTTTGTATTTTTGAAAATAAAAATTTTCAACACTGCGTGCTTATTTTTTTTTTGTTATATGTAAGTTATATGTAATAATGAATTATGGTTAAACAGAAAACTACGTTTTGTTATTACACTTGTAAAATAGAAAAGAATTGATTACACCCGTCTAATTACATATGAAATATATGTATATATATATATATGTATATATATATATATAACTATGTATCTCTTCAAATAAAAAATTAATATAATTCAATGTGGTTGAGAATTATTACCTGAATTCGTTTATACTTAATCAATCTATCTTCAGCGGATCACAACAAAGCGTACCTATCGAAATATCGGAACGGGCCGCTATAATCTAATTTATCGATTTTAATGTGACATTATGTAAAAGATATAACGAAAATACGTCAATGCTATAATCGAATCAAAGGTAATAGGTGCAAGTGAGTTATATGAACAAGGAATTCCTTGTAGACATTATGAAACTTGATCTGTTTAACGGCCTGATCTGTATATCATTATGATCTTTTCCACGAACTTCTTTTTTTTTCCTTACATCACTCTATAATAGATAGATAATATTCTCAGGTATATATATTATTTGAAATTAAACTGTTAATAACATTAGTACAACAAAATTTAATTTACCACGCTATCTTTAATAAAGACTATAATTATGTTAGCAACAATACAGAAATGAATCAAAAAGTGTAAATAATGACACTTTGATTGGATATAGAAGTATAATGCACAAATTAAAAATATAAAGTTGTCAACTACTGTTAGTAAACATATGTATATGTATAAACATACATTTTGCTTACCTATATATACTCGAAGTATTATATCTATATAATTCTAATTCTATAATGATTCTAAATGATACTATAATGTTTACTGAATTAACATAATCATTTATTATTCATGCAATTGCCTGGAGGGAAAGAATGATATGCATCGACTCATTTTTTTAAACATGTACAAATTCATTTTA